GATTTCAATTGCCTCGGCTCAAATCTCTCCGCGTTCAAGTTGTAATTTCATTTTTTGTTTTAGTTCTTTTGTACGAACTGAACACTTCAGTCAGTTCATAGGTTCTCGTTGTAATTTAAACACACATTGTGTAACAAATTTTACTGTGTAATTCTAATAGCAATCAACAGATCTTTAAGTACAAAATATTATGGAGGAAAAGGATGTGAGATAAATTGGAAGGGCCGCGACCAACTAAAACTAGCTATATCTATTTGTTATTTAACTAATGTGTAGCCGGTGCGATTCATTAGGAGAAAATTACTCCCCCTACTAATTCTAATTCTAGGTATAGCGTTTCTGGTATATAAAAAATTTCAAAAAATAAAAAGAAAAAATGAGTTTGTGAATAAGTAAGGGTAAAAAAATATAACGTAATATAAAAAAAAATTACTAAAATGTTAATTGATAATATTGATAATTAAAAATCTAAAGTGTATAATGATTTTTTTTTGTTATTAAATAATTATTAATAATAATACTAATAATAATAATAACAACAATAATAATAATAATTATAATAATAATAATAATAATAATAATAATAATAATAATAATAGTAATAATATATGTTAAAATTGTTTTTCTTTTTTTCCTAGGTGTTAAAATTGTTCTGGTAGTTCTATTTATAAAAAATGAGTGAAATTAAGATTGTATTTAAAAAATATATATATATATTTGTTTAATTTCATTTAAAAAACAAAATGAAAAATGTTATGTATCCGACTTATATATATAACTGCTAGCAAGTCATTAAACAAAACCTAATAAATTTTATATGTGGCTGCAGATCATTAAATAAAACCTACCACCCTATCTCATTCATGATTAAATATTTTATTAGTTTTTTAGATTAATTAAGACAACAAGCGCTACATTGTATTATGTATATTAACCGAGTAATAATTATATTATTTATCGAATCATATAATATATATATCTACTATATAATTAGACAACACACTTACTAAAAGTAGAACGTTTTAAAGTGGGTAGGAAAGTTGATTGTGTGTTTGACAAATGGCCCTTATTTGGTATTTAATTTTTGTTGTATCGGAGTAATATTTATTATCTCATTTAACCGTCAGCTTTTTTTTTTCTTTTTTTTTTCACATTTATTTAATATCATTAAAAAAATCTAACAAACTAAAACTTCTATTAATTATAAAATTCGTATTCATGGTTTAAACTATGGATAACTATTAAAATTCGTGTCCATTTAATTAGTGGATAATATTTTTTTAAGAACAACTTTGACTATGTCCTTCTATTTAATAAAAACTATTCTTTCATTATTTTGGTAATTACAATTATTGCGAATAATAACACAAAGACACCTGATAGAATATTTATATAACTAACTAATTTAAATAATATATTTACTACTTATACATGTAACTTTGTTGGTTTTATTGTACATGAACAAGTAGTTATCGCACGCAAAAAAAAATTATATGAAATGCATCTGTCCATGACAATTAATTTATTGTTTAGCAACAAAATTAGTATTGCATTCGTATCTATTATAAAGAAAATGGGATAACTTCAATAAATTTTTTTATTTAAATAATTTTTTTGAAATTATGTTCACTTTTTTGAAATTATGCTCTTAACTCCCATCAATTATGCGCTTTAACCCCCATATTCTAAACCAGTTGTCGAAGGTTTGATATGTTTTTATTTTCATAAGAACTAAATTCTAAACCACTACCAATTGGCCAAGTTTTTAGTATCAAAAAATTAAATTAAAAGGATTTTACCGTTAATTTCATTGATTTTGATTTTGGAAGATTAATATTTGAATTTTATATTGATAGTAAACCATTCCATAAATTTTGGAATATATGTCTCAATATAATTATTGTGCATCATATTTATGAATAATAAAATAAAAGAAACACCAAAGTGAAAATCTATATATAAGGAATGTATATTAATGTTTATAAAAAATAACATTAGATGTGTTATTATATATTAAATTTTATATTTGATAAATGTATTTGTAGATTTTATTGATGCATTAACCCATACAAAATAAATACTTGTTGAATAAAACTAAAATTACATGACTATATTGCTATTTGTTAAAAAGAATACTAATTAAATACTTAAACAATGCAAAATTAAATACAATTATTTCTAAGTTTTAAGTATATAATAATATTGGAAAAAAAAAGTATATAATAATAAAACTATAAACTAATTATTTGTCGCCTATCGTGCAAACTACCAACGAGTCAAAATAAAAATGAATTTTTTCATAACAATAATTGTACATGAGAAATATTAACTAACTAAATTATCAAATATCACATTTAAAATAAATTTTAAAATTTTTGAAATAATGTACGTCAACATATTAATTAATTTTATTATGTATAATAAAATGAAAAAAAAATAATATTAAATAATTTCTTATTTTATTTATTTATATTATCTCTCGTGCATCGCACGGTATACATAATACTAATTATATATAATATTACAATTATATTTATAATATTATATGTATACCGATAACCTATAATATCTATTTACATCTATGCAAATGTACATGATCAAATATTAGTATCATATGACTTAGAATATTTATTTACATTTGCGATGGAATATTAGTAACATATGATCAATCCCTACCAATCAGGTCTTTATTCATTTATCAAACTCACAAGTCCCAACTGAGTAGCTCTCGCCGGAGACTGTACACACTGCCCGGACAAGCTTTCCTTATTCAATTCATTCTCCTACACACACATACATTAAGGAAAAAAAAAAAAATAAAACCTCAAAACTTTCCAAACTACTCAAGCCAACCGGCGCGTTTCACCCCCTCTGCCCGCCGCGGGTCCCGCTGAAGATCAGCGTCTCCTGCCTGGAGCTCTTGAGGCGCTGCGCCTCCTCCCTCGAGATCTGGTACGAGTTGGCCAACACGTCCGCCGGCAGCCCCCTTATGGCCGACGTCCGCCCGCTCAGCGTGCTATACATCGCCTGGTCGTTGGTGTAGAACACCACCCACTCGAACCCCTGATCCTCCGACGCCCGCTTCACCACCGCAAAGTTCTGCGGCACCACCACCGCCTGCCCCTCTCTCACCCGCCCGTTGAACAAGGCCCGGCCCGTGTGGTCCACGATCTGAATGTCCGACTCCCCGCGGGTCGCGTAGATCACGGCATGCGCGTTCGTGTACCACAGCGGCGCCATTATGCCGTTCTGTGCAAGAACGAAAGAATGAAAATGATTTGATTTTTTCAGGGTAAATTTGCAACTTTCAAGAATGTTTGAGCCAAAATTTCGTACTGTGTAAGAAACAGAGTAAAAAGTAAAAACAAAAAGATTTGATTTTTCAGGGTCATTTGGAGTTTTTCAAGAATGTTTATGGCCAAATTTCGTTGAAAAAAAAAAACAAACAATTTTTCAGGGTTAATTGGCAATTTTCAAGAATGTTTCGCGGCCAAATTTCGTTATGTAAGAACAGAGAATGAAAAAGTTCGATTTCAAGGTAGCAGAGGCCAAATTCTGAAATTTTTACTTACCCTGTAGAGAACTCCCCTGGCCACGCCCAGTCGGAGGTAGCTGAGAATAGGCAACGTCAGGCTGTTAGCGGTGGTGAACCGCCCGGCCCGTGGGTTGTACACGTCAGCCCTCGATGGCTTGTCGAGATCCTCCCTAATCCTGGCCGTGCAGATAGTCTCCTCCAGGCCGTTGACCGGCCTGCCGCCATAGTACCTCTCCTCCTCCTCCTCCCTTTCACGACGGCTGTACTCCGACGGCGGCTTAATCACCTGAAGTCCCTCGTCAACCGTCACAATATGACCCCTCTCATCGTTTTGCCCCTGAAGCTTCCTTGCAGTCTCCTCATCCACCTTGAAAACCTCCGCTAGAGTCTTTGTGTCAAAACCCCTGAAAACATTCCCCAGCTGCCGGCCCTGTTCTCTCTGCTTGTACTGCTCTTGCTGTTGTCCTCTTGCCGGATTTCCAGCCAAGAAAAACGACTGCAATTCCGAGTGATTAGTAAATAAATTTATCATTTTTTTTTTTTAATTCAAAAAATGAAAATTGGTCTCGAATTAGTAATTACTCTTGGGTTTTGATCGAGCTGATTAGCATTGTTTCCATTGTCGTGAAAAATGACGAGCACGAGCTCTTCATTGCCGTCATTGTAAGCCCAATGGGCTGCTCCTGCCGGAACGGCGGCAATCTCCCCTTGCCGGAACTCCTCGATCTTTTGATGCCTGTCCCTAAACCTCCGGCTCCGGCTCCTCTCCTCCTCCGACCTCTCGAATGAAGACGACGACTCGAAAGTCTCCGGACACCCGGAAATCATCACCCCAAATAAGCCCTTACCTTCAAAATCAGAAGATACATTCAAAAATTCAAAAATAAAAAAACAGTCAAGTGAAAAAGGAAAAATGAATATTTGACGAGTCAACCGGACCTTTAATGGCGTAGACCAAGACGGGGGCGTTGTGGTAGAGTGGGAGGAGGAGGCCGCGCGGCTTGATGATGTGGCGGCGGATGGAGACTCCAGCACACCGGAATTGGTCTTCGTCGTGGTTCCAAAACTCGGTGGTGCCACCCTCGGCTTGGATGCGATCGGACGGCTCACGGGCATCGATGCTGCGAATCTGGCACCAGCCCTGCTGCTGCCCGAACGACTCCCGGGCGGTGGCGAATGCCGACCGGGCTGCGAGGAGGTAGGCGAGGAAGAAGGGTAGAAGGAGATCGTTGGCCTTGGCCATGATGTGGGAATAATAATAATAATAATAATAAGTGATTCTTTGGTTTGGTTTTTGTGTGTTGTGGGTGGAGATGAAAGTGTGGGTTTTGAAGGGTTTTTTATAGAGTGGGTTTTGAGGGTGTGGTGGTGGACACGTAGGTGGGTGGGTTTGCCAAGTTGCGGTGTGCATGGGAGAGTGAGGTCCGGTGGCTTACACCTATATATGGCTTTCGTGGAGAGTTGGCTGATTGCATCTTGCAATGGCTATTTGGTGGGTGTGTTTGTGAGAATGGGACAAAAAGGAAAATGGGATTTTTAATCACCGGAATTAAACCGAATAAGAAACTATCTCAAATTATTTTGGATGAAAAATTAAGTGCAATAACAAGCTCCGATTGGCCTAAAAGTTTGTGGGTACGATTGTCTCGACGAAAAGAATCCAACAATGGGTTAGCCACTTGAAACGGATGTCCAATGACGCCAAAATTAGGTCGTATAAAACAACGAATTTTATCTTGCTCGTCGTGATTAGTGTACATTTGTTTTTATATTTTTGACAAATTAAGGCACGAGTCCTGTAAATATTTTCTGAAACAACTGGTCTTGTGTTAGGTTGACCTAACTATTAGACTAGCGGCTCTATAAAAGAGTCATTCGATGGCTCCACATAATTTTTGATTGGATTAATATACTCTTTTTTACAAATGTCCATATTCTCATAAAATGTCATGCATTATTTTTATTTAAATATTGACCAGTTAATCCACCTAACAGATAAGCAGTCTCAACTTAAGAATTTGTGTTTCAGGAAAAAGTTGCTATAGTGGACCAAAAATAAAATTTTACTAGTTCCATTAGCCCCCCATCTACGTATTGGCTTTTATTTATCTGTTTTAACTTTTTTAACTTATGAATTCTTTATTTACCTTATTTAACCTTGTTTAAGATCTTTTCTACTCTACTTATACCATGTCCAACTGAAAAAAAAAAAAAAA